TCCAGGGCCACAGGAGCCACAGCAGAGTACAGTGGGCACAGAGCAGCACCAAGGACTGAGCCTGGGCTGGCCATTGTCCAGGGAGGAAGTAGAGGGGACAGCAAGTCTAGAGACAGGACAGGTAGCCACAGGGAGACAGGCTGTCCTGAAGGGTGGTGGTCCTGGGTGTCAGGTGCAGTTGCTGATGGACCTGATTGGCGGGGGGAGGGGGGGACATCTGAGGCTGTGAGCCCCAGAGGAAGCAGGTGCAGGAATGAGATACCACAAAGCAGGGTGCCCAACACCACAGAAGTTCCTCTCTCCCAGCCTGGAGACCTACACCTGAATCCAAGTGTGGTAGGGCTGCACATCCTCCCAGAGGCCCTGGAGAAGGTCCTCCCTGTATTCCCAGCTTCCGCGGCTGCATTGCTGTTTGTGGGTCTGTCTCTAAAGTCCCCTAGCCTCTCTGGGATGCCCCAGGACCCCCTGGTAATCCTTTCCCAGTCCGTAGCCACAGGATTTGTCCTATGAAGTGACGTTCACAGGCTCTAGGGATGAGGGCGGGAGGAGGGAGCCCAGTCAGGGGCAGAAAAGGTAGGCTGAGCACCCAGGTGCAGGGTCAGGGCAGGTGGGGACAGTGGCCTATGTCTGAATTTACCAAGAACGAGTGGCACTATAGACAGTGCCCAGGGCCACTGCAGCCAGTGGTTGGGAAGGGAAACCGAGCTGGCTGCAGGGGCAAGTGCCCAGCTGCTTCTGCAAATGAGGGACCTTTTTGAGGGCCCAGTAACAGGGAAGGAGTGAATGCCACGTGGAAACGGGCCATGGTTGCCACCGGTGGTTCTGCTTTGTTGGGAGTGTGTCCTGTGTTGGAGGTGTTCTGGGGACAGTGTGGGCCGTGCCCTTCTCTCCTAGCCCACCAGCATTGCTGAAGCACCAGGCTACAGTGCCGGCCTGTGGGTATGGGAGTCCCCTGGCCAGCAGTGACCTGAATTTTGCCCTCATCTTCCAGATGTCTGCTCCCACCTAATTCCAACGGTTGGGGACTTTGGAAATGTCTGGAGGTGGGGGCAACAGTGAGAGTCCCATTGGTTACAAGTCAACCAGAGATGGGCTTGGAGAGTCCCCCAGGAGACCAGGCCGGCCCGTAGAGCAGCCCTGGGAGACACAGAAAAGCTGGGGCGGGGGGCAGTGGAGGTGCAGGTGGGTGACCTCCACCCCCGGGACTCAGGAGGAGGTAGGAGGCCCATGGTGCTGGCCCATCTCCATGTGAGTGGCTTCCGTTGCTGTTGTAGAATCATGCACAATGCAGGAAGGACGGACGGCAAAGATAGTTTTTGTTCTGCTGGTGAGATAGCAGTAAAGTTTATTCTTTTTGCTTATTTTTGTTACACGAACATGTATTACTGCGGTGGCAAAGAATATTAAAATTTTGTTCTGGGGCAGCGCTGGTGGCTCAGCGGTTTAGCGCCGCCTGCAGCCCGCGGTGTGATCCTGGAAACCCTGGATCCAGTCCCATGTCGGGTTCCCTGCATGGAGCCTGCTTCTCCCTCTGCCTGTGTCTCTGCCTCTCTCTGTGTGTGTCTCTCATGAATGAGTAAATAAAATCTTTTAAAATAAATAAATAAATAAATAAATAAATAAATAAATAAATAAATAAATAAATAAATTTTGTTCTGAAAACATACAATTTCCTAAGTCTGGGGTGTGGGGTCTGGGCTGGAGCCTGGTTGGGGGCTGGGGTGAGTGGGGCCCTGAAGGCCTGGGCACCTGCAGGTTGGCAGGTTCTTTCCAAAGGGCTCTCAAGTGTCCAGGATCGTTGATGCAGAGCAGGGAGTGCAGAGGGCCGGTCCCTAGGCTGCCGCCCCATCGCAGTGACTGTCCCCATCACAGTGACTGTCGTGTGGGCCCCGGGACTAGCATCCCGACCTCCCAATCCTCCCGCCTCCGGGGCCCGGTAGACCCTGGAGGAGAAGCTAGGCCACCCTGCACCCCGAGCCCGTCCGACAGGGGCTCCCCGTGTGGCCCTCAGCACAGCCTTGGAGACCCAAAGCCCCGTGGCGCCCCCTGCCTGACTGTTTGGGGCCCTTGCTGCCGAAGATGCAGCTCATCACACACCTCTGGAGAAGGTGGGCCGTCAGCAGTATTTGAAAGGATTTTAGATTGTTTATACCGCGTTCACAGATGACACGACCTTGTCCCGATTGGGGGCATTTCCTTCCTGCCCCTGGAGAGACACCTCCTGAGCCGCTGCCGGGCCCTACACACTCCTTGATGTGTGCCCTCGAGCTTTGCTGGCTTGGTGTCACTGCGGGAGCCCTGGCTGCCCCCATGCCCCCCCCCCCGCCCCGGTGCTGCCCCCTTGGACACTGCCCCAGATGCCTCCCGAATACCAGGGCACCCCCCCCGGGTCCCCAGGGTGCCACACTGGGGAGCCCACCCCCTGTGGCCTGCACTCGGCCTGCCACGTCCAGCCCGCCTTACGAGCTGGGGCCTGGGATCCCTGGTCTCCTCTGACCCTTCCCCCAGCCCAGGCTTCTGCAGTTCTCCAGTCCAGGCCAGCTCTGGAGGCTGCCCCCTGTGTGGCTTTGTCATGAGTAGATCCAGGTAAAAACTTTATGGTTGTCACTTCCACTTAGGTGGGGAGGAGGGGCTCTGTGTCCTTTCTTGGACATCTCGCCAGGGGCACAGACATTATTGGGTCCCACACAGGGTCATGCTGACTTGGTCCTTTGGGCCAGGTGGTGTCTGATGGGCATCTTTCTTGTAAAGGTACTTTCCTTTTTTTTTCTTTTTTTTTTTTTAAGATTTCATTTATTTATTTGACAAAGAGAGCGTGAGTGGGGGGAGGGGCAGAGAGAAAAGCAGACTCCCCACCCAGCCAGGAGCCAGACCCGGGGCTGGATCCCAGGACCCCAGGACCATGACCTGAGCCAAGGGCAGACACTTAGCCACCGAGGTGCCCAGTAAAGATACTATCCTATGCTCGTAATGAACTGTAGCCTGGAGGAAGATCTTGGCACCATAAATATTTTCTTTCTTTCTTTCTTTCTTCTTTCTTTCTTTCTTTCTTTCTTTCTTTCTTTCTTTCTTTCTTTCTTTCTTTCTTTTCTTTCTTTTCTTTCTTTCTTTCTTTTTTCTTTCTTTCTTTCTTTCTTTCCTTTCTTTTTCTTTCTCTCTCTCTCTTTTTCTTTCTTTTCTTTCTTTCTTTCTTTCTTTTTTTTTTTAACATTTTATTTATTGGGGGATCCCTGGGTGGCGCAGCGGTTTAGCGCCTGCCTTTGGCCCAGGGTGCGATCCTAGAGACCCGGGATCGAATCCCACGTCGGGCTCCCGGTGCATGGAGCCTGCTTCTCCCTCTGCCTGTGTCTCTCTCTGTCTCTCATGAATAAATAAATAAAATCTTTTTTTAAAATTTTTATTTATTTATGATAGAAAGAGAGAGGGAGAGAGGCAGAGACACAGGCAGAGGGAGAAGCAGGCTCCCTGCAGGGAGCCCGACGTGGGACTAGATCCCGGGGCTCCAGGATCACGCCCTGGGCTGAAGTCGGCGCTAAACCGCTGAGCCACCCGGGCTGCCCTGAAATACATTTTCTTACGTGTAGTTGGCACAGTAAAAAACATGAATTGTGGGGTGATTGGGAGAACATGGTCTCCCTAAAGCCAGGGCAGAAAAAAGGACTTAAAGGGTAATAGCAGCACGTGGAAGGAGCCAGCGGATAAGAAACGGCGCTCGGTCCGCTAAAGGGGCGCAGCGACCCAGAGACCGCAGCAGCACGTGCCGCCAGCCGGGCTCGCCTCCCGGACCCCGTCCCCGGACCCGTCCCCGGAGGCCCCGCCCCAACCAGGGCCCACCCCCCGGAAGGCCCGCCTTTTGCCAGGCCCCGCCCCTCCCCCGAAAGCCCATCTCTCCCTCGGAGGCCCCGCCCCACCGGCCGGCCCCGCCCCCAACCAGGCTCCTCCCCTCCAGCCGGCCTCCCTCTGACAGGCCCCGCCCCCTTCCGGCCGGCCCCGCCCCCAGGCTCCTCCCCTCCAGCCGGCCTCTCTCAGATTGGCGCCCCCCGCCCCCGCGTCCCCAGTCCTCCGGCCGGCCTCCGTCTGACCGGCCCCGCCCGCAGCCAGGCCCCGCCCCTCCAGCCGCCCCCGTCCTTGACCGGGCCCCCTCCGCAGGCCCCGCCCCCTAGCCGGGCTCCGACACCCTTCCCTGACAGGCCCCGCCCATCGGCAGGCCCCGTCGCCGCCGCCCGCCCCCGCCGCTCCACCAGGCCCCGCCCCTCCATCAGGCCCCGCCCCGGTGGCAAGGCAGCAGGGAGCGCGGGGGACTCCGCAGACCCGGCTTTCGGACAGGTGTGGAGGGGGCGGGGGCGCCGGCGGTGGTCCGCCGCCGCTGGCGCTGCCCGGCCCGCCTCCGGCCCGCCCCCGGCCCGACCTGCCGCCCGAGCTCCTGCAGGCCCGCGGCCGCCCCGCGCGAGCGCCGGCTCTGGGATCCACTGCTCTGGCCTGGGGGCGGGGCCGGCGCGCGGCGTCATGCATATGCATGAGCGGCGCGGCGGCTCCATTGTGCCCTCGGAGCGGGCGGCGGCGCGATGGCGCGGGTGGCGGCGGCGGCGGCCCCGCGGCGGCGGGCGGCGCGGAGGGCGGGCTGAGCGCATGGAGCGGCGTGGGCCGGGGGCCTCGGCGGCGAGGGGCCGGGCTAGGCCGGGCGGAGGTGAGCGGGCCGGGTGGACAGGTGCGGGCGGCGGGGGCGGCAGGTGCGGCAGGTGCGCGGGGCGGGCAGGTGCGGCGCTCGGGGCCCGCGCTGCAGCGCCTCTGCCGGGCTCGGGCCGGGGTGGAGGCGGCCCCGCCGCCCACCTGCCGCACCTGCCGCGTGCGCGTCGTGCTCTCGGGCCCTCCGGCCGGCGCGCGGGCGGCCCTCACCTGAGCCTTTGTTGGGGTCGGCTGGAAGCCGGCCGGGCGCCCGAGGGGTGTGCGCGGCCCCGGCGACCTCCTGAGCGGGGAGGATGGCCCGGGGCCCTCGCCCCGCCTGGCCGCGCCGCCGCCACGCCGCGCTCGGGCTCGCCTCCGGGCTGGCTCTGTGCCGTGCGCGCCCACCAGCTGGGCGGCGTGGGGCCGCGGGGCCGCCCGAGGCCGGCGGAGCAGGCTGACCTTTCAGCCTCCCGCCGTGGTTTCTAAGGGGACACCCCTCGTCCCAGCCGCGCCTGCGCCGGGGCGGGAGGGTGCCCTCTCCCAGGACCCCCGTTTGCCTCTCTCCCTGCCCTGCTCTCCTTTCCCTCCTGCTTGCTCCTCTCCGGCCCGGATGCGCCCGTCCCTGCCCAGCTCTGTTCCTGGTGGTTGCAGACCATCCACAGCCACGTCTGTAAGTCGGTTTCGCAGGGGCATACACGGAACGTGTGACTTGATCTGGGGGACGGTGGTGGATGCAGGGAGGGTGAGCAGACTCAGCCACCGCTTCCTGGGGAGCTAGAGCCCGCGGGCCTCCATCGAGGCTTCGTGAGAGGGGGGCCTGGCCTCCCCCAGCTGGTACTGGGCCTGAGGACTGGTCATGCCCAGGGGCTGGTTACAGGCAGGGGACAGAGGTCAGGGAGGAGGAAGGTAATGACAGGCAGGCAGGGTGCGCCTGGGGAGGACTCCAGGGGCAGCCCGGCTTCCTCGCGAAGTGTCCACTGGCACTGCGTCCACTACAGGACCCAGGGTTTGAGCACAGAATGGCAGGTGTGTGTCCTCCGCTTTCCTAGGGTGGCTGCCACGTACCCATTGTGCACCCAGGCCCTTCGTAAGTGCTCGTTCCTGGGTGCTTTAGATGGGCTCCAGCACTTAGGCTGGTCGGTGTTGTGGCCTCACGTGGAGAGCAGCAGGACTTCCAGCCATCCAAGCATGTGAGTCCCCCCCCCTTGTGTCGTCCTGCCTCACTGAGCCACCATTTCCACTTTCTCCAAGCCCATCAGACTTGGGTGTTCCTCTGCTTGGACACGTGCCCTGGAAGCACGGGCTCCCTGCTGCCAGAGTGCCTGCCCCAGGACCACAGAGCAGGCGTGCCTTTCTGAGGTCAGGTGGCCTGTCATGGGGTGTGCTGCTCCTGGCTGACCAGGCGGCAGGGACAGAGGAGAGGTGCAAGAGAGCTGACCCACATTAACGTCTGCCTGTGGTTGGCACCCAGGAGACTGGGTGCAGCTGCTCCAGGGCCTTGGGAGGGGGTCTGAGTAGCCAGTTTCTGTAGCTGTCTTTCTGGGAGATGTGACCCGACCCAGAGAAAGCTCCAGGCTAACCACGTGCCAGGGCGGTTCTGCCGAGGGGTCCTGGCTTCCCGCTGGAGCTGTGGACAGCAGAGCCTCGGACCAGCAGAACGGCCCCCGCCTCAGGCCTGCTCGGGCCTCCTTGTGCGCACGTGCACTCAGGCACACACGCACACACACACCTGGCTTCTTCAGGCCAGGAAGTGAGAGGAGGGTCTTGCATTCAGAGCAGGGCTCTCCCTTTGTCGGGAGCAGAGGGCCATGGGGTACCCAACTTGGAGAGTGCAGGTCTCCCCAAGAAGACCAGACTTAGTTTGGCAGGAAGTCACACACAAACACACACACACACACACACACACACACACACACACACGCCCTGCACACCCAGACACCCATGCATGCAGTCAGCTCAGGGGGAACTGGAAATCTCTGTGGTCTCGTCCATAGCAGAGCAGCCTTTGGGGTGGAATTCCCCCGACCCATGTGATGTAGGAGTCGTCCCGGGGCCCCAGACCAGTAGCCTCCGCCTCCCCCACTCTCCACCTGGGGTGCCTGTAGCGGCAGCATCCTCATCCAGGCTCGTTAGCGATGCGGGTCCTCAGTTCCAGTCCTCCAGTTGCGTGTGATACGCGGAGCTGGAGCTGGGGCTGCGGGAGTCCTCAGTGGTGCTCCCCCACCCGGCCGGGGGCTCGTCTTCCACCCACCCTTTGCTTCTGGAACCACAGAGTGGGCCTGGCCAACCCCACCAGCTTTGTTGTAGGGAAGGGTGGCCCTGGGCATTTCTGTGGAGAGAACAGGCCAAGTGGCGGCGATTTTCTCATTAAACTTTTATTTTGAGGGAATTAGAGATTCACGTGCAGCTGAAAGAAATAACTGTGTGTCCTTTACTTGGTTACTCTAGTGGTGACATAATACGGTAGGATAACGTCACACTGGGATGCTGCGTGGCTCCAGTCAAGATGCAGATACTCCCTCCCCACCTTCTGTTCACACCTGTTCCCTCCTCCCCACCTGGCAGTTGTGCTCTGCTCTTCGTTCTGGGATTCCATCATTTCAGGAATGTTACATAAAGGGAATCCTACCATGTGTAACCTTTGGGGACTGGCTTTCTCCACGCAGCATGGTCCCTTGGGGCTTCCCGCCGCCTCCCCTCAAGCTCCCAGGCTGTGGGTGGCCCCTGAGGGGCTCGCCCCTCACCTGCAGGCCGTCCCCACTGACGCTGCCGGCAGCACACACACGCACATTCCTGGGTGAACGCGTGTTTACATTTCTGGGAGATGAGTGTTCGGGAGCGAGGTTGTGGGGCCGGGCAGTAGCCGCCTGCTTAGTTTTACGAGAAGCCCCAGACTTTCCAGAGCGGCTGCACGGCAGTCCATTCCCAGTGTCCCCAGGGCCGGAGCTGTCTATCCTCCCTGCACTCCGTGGCAGCCTTGCTGTGCTGCAGAGCCTGGAGGGGCGGTGGGGGGGGGGGCTCAGAGGGCTCAGAGGCCTACTCCACCCTTCCCGATGCCTCGATGGTGCCCCCCCGTCCCAGGCTGCCTCGCTGTCAACACGACCTCGCCAGTGAAATGTCCCTCTGTCTTCCACCCATTTCCTGGGTGAGCTTTTTTGTCTTTTGAGTTTGGGGAATTCTTTATGTATTCTAGATACTGATCCTTTGCCTGGGACATGGCTTGTCCCTTCATCCCATCAGCAGGGCCTCCCACAGGTAAATTTTCAGTTTTCCACTTTGAGGACTGTGCTTTTGGGGCACCGTTTAAGGACTTTCCTTAGTGCAAGATCCCAGAGATTTTCTCGTGAATGTTTCCAAAGGCTCTATGGTTTTGCGCCATACATTTAAACCTATGGCATGTTTCTAGTTAATTTCTGTGCAAGATGTGAAGATTAGGATTCTTTTTTTTTTGCATGCCAGAGTCCAGCGGCCCTGGCACCACATGTTGAAATGCCAGGTTTTCTCCAGCGTGTGGTTTTTCTACCTTCGTCGTCAGAGATCAGTCGCTTCTCTGGTCTGTCCCATTGACCTGTTGGCAGGTCTGCCCATCGCTATCCCCCGACCCCCCACCCATCCTGAAGGTGGCCAGTAGGGACTGGGGACACCAGCCTTCCCTTGCCTGGCCGGCTGGTCCTGGCTCCCTGGCCTCTGTGTCCTGAGTGGGAGCTGGTCTAGGGGAGGAAGGAGAATGGTGTGGGGAAGGGGAGCAAGCCGACTCCCCTCTGCCATCCCCCTCGTGCCTAACTCCAACGGCCCTGCTGCAGCTCTGGGATCCCCGGGACCCACATACCTCAGTGCTCTGTGCTGAGAGAGACCAGCGAGCTTCACATGCTCCAAACACACAGCCAACCGCCCACCCATGGGAGGCTATGGATCACAGTCCCCAGTGTACCCCTTCCGGCTCTGGGTCCCCGGCAACAGACCTGCCCCCCACACCATATTTCTAGAGGATGTGATAATCTTGAGGTCCCTGGTCAGCACACAGGAATGTGAGTCTCGTGGTTGGGTGGCTGCTGGGGCCACTTCTTCACTCCTGGACCAGCCAGACACCTCGTGAGTGCTGAAATGGCGGGACTGACCCCCCAGAGGTTAGCTTGTCCCAGGCCATGTGCGCGAGGCCTCACGGCCCCACAAGGGCAGTGGTACTTCAGGACAGAACCTCAACACCCAGAGGGCCGAGTACAGCCTCCCCTCCAAGGACCCCCAGGGGACCCCCGGAGAACATAGGCGGTGTGTGTCTGTGGTTAGGCCAGGCAGAGGTAGGTGTGGGGGTGGCCCTAGCAGTGCCAGCAAGAGTTTGGGCTGACTTTTTGGGGTGCTGGAGAATGTGAGTGGCCTGGCCCTCCCTCACTCATTTTTCTGAGATGGTAGATGTGAGGCAGTGCACCTCACGGGATAGGCGGGGGGCCCCCCTGCTTGGGCACCTGGGTCCCACGAGCGTTCGCCAGCCTCTGTCTGCTCTGTTCCATTGGCCCCTTGCCATGTCCACAGGCACCTGCCAACCCTTTACCCGTCACCCTGTGTATGCATCCCACCCCTTCTGGGAACTCGTGTGGGTGTCACTGTGGCCTGTGGGGGTCAGGTCTGCCTGCCTGGCCCTGAGCCCATGTTGGTCCCAGGTGGGCCCCCGCAGGGGACTGCCAACCAGGGGCAGCCGACTGGCCCCAGGCCAGGGTGGAAGGTGGCTGACTTGCTCACCCCTGCTTACCAGAGCCCCTGCGCACAGTGGGCACACCTCAGAGCCTAGGCACACGGTGCCCCGGCCCCCCCAGCTGGTCCTCCTATATTTTCTGATGCTGGCTCTCAGCTTGGCCTCCACCCTGGGGCTTTCTTGGGGGATGATGGCAATCAGGTCCTGGATGCTCCCTTATTTTATAGATATCCAGGCCTTCGTGCAGGAGGGAAGCGTGGAAAGTATTTGGGATCAGAAGCCTTCTCCCAGAGCCGTTCTAGGAGCCCTGAGTAGTAGGGCCTAAAGGGTTAATGCTGGCTTCCGGGGGGGGGGGGCAGTGCAGATCAAAGTGGCCCTCAGACGCCGGCGTCACCCTGCCCTCCATCAGTCAGCCCAGAGCAAGGGGTCCTGCTGCTCGGATCTCCCCGTAACCCGCTGACAGCCCCCCTGGTTGCATCTCCACTGATGTCCTCTCTCCTGTCCCAGCAGCCAGAGCAGCTGAGTCTCACGTCAACAGCAGTGAGGGCCACTTCCTGCCACCCACAGACCTGGCCTTTAGGCTGCTCTGAAGCCAATGAACCCCATGCACCCCGTGAAACCTGCCCTGCCCCCCACGCCACACGGGTGAGTGGGGCTCCTGCCGCCTTCACTTCTCAGGCCACAGGGCTGCGGTGGGGGCCTCCCCACCTCCCCAGCAGGGGTCTCCACCCCTGTGGCATCCTGACCTGGACCTGCCTGCCCACCTCTTTCCTGGCAGTGATGGTCCATTTGCTTATGAGGCGGTGCCTTGGCAACAGAGCGCCACTCAGCCGGCGGGATCACTGTCTGTGGTCACAACCGTGTGGGGCGTTGGGAACACGGCCCAGAGCCAGGTGAGCCCACAACCTGGGCCCGTCCCTGAGAGCCACCAGGGCCCCCTGGACCTCAGGGAGAAATGGAGTTGGGCTTCCTGAGACCTCCCTGTCCCTGTCGACGAGTCCCCCTCCCTCACATGGTGTGGCCCCACCCCGCCCCCACTTCCAGCTTCCACACGAACCATCCCTCTGCTCTGTTCCCCTCCTTCCCTCACCTCTGTCCGCCCTCCTCACCCCCTTACCTGCCAGGCCTCTCCTTTGGAGTGTCTGTGTGAAGTTAGTTGTTTGGATCGTCTTCAGTGGCAATTGTTGCTTCCTTATAGGTTTTGGGGAACCCCATGGGCCCTGCAGGGAGCCCCCCGGGTGGCTCTGTGATGCCTGGCATGGCTGGCAGCGGCTCAGCCCTGAATTCCCCACAGTGCCTCGGACAGCAGGCATTTGGTGAGGGCGCCGCCAACAAGGGCTTCGTGCAGCAAGGGGTGTATGGCCGTGGGGGCTACCCTGGGGGCCCCGGCTTCACTCCTGGGTAAGTGGGACCTGTCACGTGGCAGGTGTGCTGGGAGCCCTCCAGGGGCGATGCTTTGGGCGTGGCAGACGCCAAGGACTGTGTAGACGAGCCTCTTGAGAGCCACGTCTCTGTTCTTCCCGTGGGCTCCCATGGGAGCATGTAGATGAGAGTGGGGGCCCCCGTCGGTGCCCAGTGGCCCCCCGGGTGACGGGCAAACAGGAACTTCTGAGTCCAGCCGTGTGTGTCTCTCGCAGGTATGCAGGCGGCCCCGGGGGCCCTGGGGGCCTGGGTCTACCCTCACATGCCACACGACCCTCCACCGATTTCACTCAGGCGGCGGCGGCGGCCGCGGTGGCTGCTGCTGCAGCCACCGCCACAGCCACCGCCACGGCCACCGTGGCTGCCCTCCAGGAGAAGCAGAGCCAGGAGCTGAGCCAGTACGGAGCGGTGAGGCCCGGCCGCTCCTCCCATGGCACCCACGTGTGCTGGTCTGGAAGGCAGGGACCAGTTGGGCAGCCAGGGTCGGGGACTGGGTGGGGGCGGCGAGATGCTGAGGGGGGCCTCTGGGTGGTACCCCCGGGGTGGGGGGTTGGCCTGAAAGGCTCCTCTCTTATCTCCCCAGATGGGGGCCGGGCAGGCTTTCAACAGCCAGTTCCTGCAGCACGGAGGTCCGCGGGGGCCCAGCGTCCCAAGCGGCATGAACCCCACCAGCATGGGAGGGCTGCTGGGCCCCTCTGGCCTGAGCCCCATGGGCATGAACCCCCCCCGGGCGGCAGGCATGGCCCCCCTGTACGCAGGGCAGCGCCTGCCCCAGCATGGGTACGCTGGGCCCCCACAGGCCCAGCCACTGCCCCGACAGGGGGTCAAGAGAGCCTATTCCAGCGAGGTGAGTGTCGGGGCCTCCCTCGTCCCCAGCTGCATCCAGAGCCGCGGCGAGCTCGGGCATCCGTGTGAGAGAACTGGCCGTGCCCAACGGGGTGGGCACTGCATCCCCCCGGGAGCTGGCTTCCCCGACACCTGTCCCCTTGGCACCTGGCCTCTTCTCTTCCTCAGGTTTATCCAGGGCAGCAGTACCTGCCAGGAGGCCAGTACGGGCCTAGTGCCACCCAGTACACGCCTGGCGCTGGACAGTCTTCTGCTCCCTCCTCCTATGCCGGCCACCGGCTGCCCCTGCAGCAGGGCCTGGCCCAGTCCCTGCCCGCCCCCGGCCCTGCAGGACTGCACTACAAGGTAGGGTGGGTTCCCGCCACGCGACACAGACGGGCCTCGACTGGGCTGACCAGGGTGTGGGCCCGTGTGCAAGGGGCGGGGGGGGTGACCAAGCAGCCCGGAGCTCCACAGGGGTCCAGACCGGGGCAGGGATGTGGTTCTGAAAGGACCCACTGTGAGATTTGGTGTAGGGACCCAGGGGGCAGGCACTGCAGCCACTGAATGTCCTGTGGGGAACAGTGCCCCCGTTCCCTCTACTTGCTGGGGATGGGCCCAGGGGGGCACGGCGGGGAGGAGGAGCTGGGTTTTTAGCTTCTGGTGGCCCTGCCTTCCCCCCTTCTGACAGGCAGGGTCCTCTCTGCTTCCAGAGTGGTAACTTTGTAAATTATGAAAGCAACACGTTTGCAAATCGTAGAAAGCATACAAAGAAACCAAAGGCCAGTGCCAGTGTGTGCGGTGGGCACCCCGCCCCCAGCCCCCTCCTTGGATCCAGTTCAGGGGCCTGGCAGGGGCAGGCGGGGGCCCCGGGCGCACGCAGTTTTCTCTCCTGCAGCCCACAGAGCAGTTCAACGGGCAGGGCACCAGCTTCAACGGGGGGAGCGTCGGCTACAGCCAGCATGGCCTGAGTGGGGTACGGGCAGACTGGCGGGCGGCTCACGGGTGGGTACGTGCACCGAGGGCACCCAAGGAGGAGGAAGTACAGAGGGCTAGCCAGATACCCTTTGACTGTCTGCTCGACCCCACAGCCCACCCGTTCCATCCCTGGCTACCCCAGCTCCCCACTGCCGGGGAGCCCCACGCCGCCCATGACCCCCGGCAGCAGCGTTCCCTACATGTCCACTAGCCAGGAGGTCAAGTCTCCCTTCCTGCCCGACCTCAAGCCCAGCGTGAGCTCCTTACACCCGTCACCCCCCGGTGAGTGTCATCTGCTCTCAGGACCCCAGTTGCCTACAGGGAACGTGGGGGACGGGGGGCCCTTACCTTCGTCTTCTATTCGTAGATCTCTTTTCGTGTCTTTCAAGGTGTGGATCTTCTCTCTAGAAACACACCTGTACACACAAAATTTTGTATATTATTAAGGGATTTACAAGTCCCCTGAAGTCTACTCCTGGTTGGGAACTTCCTGCCCTGAGGGAGAACTAGGGAAGGCCACCATGACGGAAGCAGGGTAACTGGAACCCTGGCTCAAGCACTAGCAAGACGCCAGGTGGTCCGTTTGATCCAGTCCCAGCTCCTCAGCCTCCCACCCGTGAAGAAAGTGCCGGTGGCAGCCTCTTTCTGGGTTGGGAACATGTGCTCCAGTTATAACTTAGGGGACACCGGGCTGGGTGACTAAGGTGGGACACCAAGCTCCTGCTCCTGTTGGAGGTTCTGGCCAGGCCCAGGTCCCCAGGAGACGCCCCGAGGTGGGGCGGGGGAGGGGAATGACAGGCCGTGCTCCTGGCCACAGCCCCGGCAGCCTGCTCACACCCGCACGGCCTGCTCCCAGGCAGCGGCCCCTGCGACGAGCTGCGGCTGACCTTCCCCGTGCGGGACGGGGTGGTCCTGGAGCCCTTCCGCCTGCAGCACAACCTGGCTGTGAGCAACCACGCCTTCCAGCTCCGCGACTCCGTCTACAAGACCCTGATGCTGAGGTGGGCGCCCCCCCCACCCCGTGCATGGCCCCCCTTGGCCACCCCGTCCCCCTGCCCCGTTCTCAGCATCCCCCCACCCCACACAGGCCCGACCTGGAGCTGCAGTTCAAGTGCTACCACCACGAGGACCGGCAGATGAACACCAACTGGCCGGCCTCCGTGCAGGTCAGCGTCAACGCCACCCCACTGACCATTGAGCGCGGCGACAACAAGACGTCCCATAAGCCCCTGTACCTGAAACACGTGTGCCAGCCAGGCCGCAACACCATCCAGATCACAGTCACAGCCTGCTGCTGCGTGAGTACCCTCCTGGGTCCGGCGACCTCACCCGGTGCTTCCCCCATCCAGCCTGTTCTGGCCTCTCAGAAAGGGGCCCGTGAGGAGCGGCCTCCCTGCTCTCCAGTTAGGCCCGCTTACCTAGACTGGGCACCTGTGCTGGCCCCACGGGGAACCCAGCTGAGCTGTCTCCCCGGCAGGAGGCTGTGGAGTCCCACGTGCTGCAGCCCCCGAATCCCGGCTCGGGGTGAGCAGGGCCGAGAGCAGCAACCAGGGCCTCTGGCTCTGTGGGATCGCGGGGGTGCTGCGGGCTGTGCTGGTCAGCACCTGGGGGGCTCCCAGGCCGGGAGGCCCCCCGCCCCCCCTGAGCAGCCCCTCTCCCGCAGTCCCATCTGTTCGTGTTGCAGCTGGTCCACCGGCCCTCCGTTCGCTCGGTGCTGCAGGGTCTCCTCAAGAAGCGCCTCCTGCCTGCCGAGCACTGTATCACCAAGAGTGAGTAGCCCCGGCCGCCACCCGCACGTGCCCCCACCCGACGAGGCTGTCGCCTCCACGCGGGGGCCCCAGGGGGATGGGGGGCGGTCAGCCCCACGCAGCCCCTCACTCGAGTGCTCTCCCCGGTGACACCAGTAAAGCGCAACTTCAGCAGCGGCACCATCCCAGGCACCCCTGGGCCAAACGGCGAGGACGGGGTAGAGCAGACCGCCATCAAGGTGTCCCTCAAGTGCCCCATCACCTTCCGCAGGATCCAGCTCCCCGCCCGCGGTCACGACTGCCGCCACATCCAGGTGGGTGGCCCTGTGCAGCTCAGCCAGATCTTCCGCTGGCTGTGTTCCCTGTGTGCCGTCGCTGCCGCCACCTCCAACAGCAGGTGAAGAGACAGGCAGCGGCAGGCAGGTGGCCAGGCTCCTTCACACTCTCCCCTGGGACCGGGCATCTGTGTCTCCAAGCACGGTTGCCATTCCCCTGAATTCTTGGGGTCTCGTCTCCTGAGGCCACGGGACAGCGGGCGCCATCCAGCCCGCTCCGCACCCCCAAGAGGGCAGCTCAGTGGCCAGCTCTCCCTCAGGGTGTCCTGGACGCTGTGCCCCGGGGGTGGTCCTTTGCCAGCACAGACACCCAATTCTGTGGCTGCGTGGCCTCCCCATCCCACTGAGGACTGTGTAGGCTGTCCCAGTGTCCATATATCAGAAGGGCACCTCAGGGAAAGCCTGGCACACGTGGCTTCTTGGCACCCGAGTAGATGAGCCCAGAATCGTGGGGCTCGATCACGGGATGTGGCCCCCACGTGAGGAGTCACCTGTCCTGCTCTCCACAGTGCTTCGACCTGGAATCCTACCTACAGCTCAACTGCGAGCGGGGGACTTGGAGGTGCCCTGTGTGCAAGTGAGTACCTCCAAGGCAGTCTTCATGGGAGCCTCAGGCACAGGGTGGCACGTGTCAGAGGCTGTGGGAGCGTTTCCCCCCCAATGGCACCATGGAAAACCTCGGTCAGCTCAGGGGGTCACCGCACAGACCAGGATGGTGCGGCCCAGGGCATAGACTTCACACACGGTCACCTCCATGGGGTCTCCTCTTGAGGGGTCACCTCCCAGGGGGTGGCCTTGGGCACAGTGATGGGCCTGCGGCCAGAATGAGCTTGGGCCAGGCCCCTGAGCCATGTGCCTCTGGTTTCCCACAGTAAGACAGCGTTGCTGGAAGGCCTGGAGGTAGACCAGTACATGCTGGGCATTCTCATTTACATTCAGAAGTAAGTCTCTTTCTGCCGCCCCCAGCATCTGGTCTGCAGCGGGCAGCCTGGGGGACAGCTGGGAGGCACTGTCCACGGCTGCCCTGCCCAGGCGGAACCCACATCCCCCCCCCCCGGGGCCCGTGGAATGTGCTGGGCGGCCACCAGCATTTGAGTGGAAGGTCTGCCCAGAAGGGAGAGGCAGCTGGACAGGTGGTGACCGGGCCGCGTGTACGCCTGCAGCTCCGATTACGAGGAGATCACCATCGACCCCACGTGCAGTTGGAAGCCGGTGCCAGTGAAGCCAGACGTGCACGTCAAGGAGGAGCCGGACGGGCCCGTGCTGAAGCGCTGCCGCACTGTGAGCCCTGCGCACGTGCTCATGCCCAGTGTGATGGAGATGATTGCAGCCCTGGGCCCCGGGGCAGCCCCCTTCGCCCCCCTGCAGCCCCCCTCAGCCCCAGGTCCTGGTGACTACCCCAGCCAGGGTGAGTATGGCAGGCCCCCCCGCAGATGGCCACTAATGATCCGTTCTCTCCGGGCCCGTCTATCCACTCCCTGTGAAGCCATCCCCGCGCCTGGGGGGCTGTCTGGGGAAACCCCCGAGGGGTTGGGCAGGGCAGCAGGGCCTCCCATGGTAGCTGGGCCCAGCCACCCCGGCACTGGGGAACAGGGGCCATCTGCTGTCATGCTTCTGGGGCCTGACCCTCTCTGACCCCACCTGTGAGTGTGTCTAGGTAAGGCGGTTCCATCCCTGTTCTCTTGTGGCGGGATCCTTTGGCTGTGATGAGAAGTCCCGTGTTACCTGGGGGAGAGTGCTGGGAGCCCCGCCCAGGTCACGGCCAGCCTGCCCCCCCACCCCACCCGCTGCTCCTCTGGCGCAAGCCCCCAGGCCTTACTCAGGACTGGCTCTGCTCTTAGCTTCCAGCTTCCTGGGACCCGGGACTTTCCCCGATTCCTTCCCACCCGCCACACCCAGCACCCCAGCCCTTCCGGAGTTCACTGCGGGGCCGCCCCCCAGCTCCTACCAATCTGACCTTCCCAGCAGCCTCCTGACCCCAGAGAAGTCTACCCCCTGCCTCCCAGGCCAGGTCAGTGCTGGTGGAGGGCGGAGGGCCGGCTCCTGGGGAGTTGGGCCTTGGGCTATTTGACCTGGTTCTTCTCTGCTTCCTCAGATGGCACCAGCGGGTCACCTGGACCCAGCCCACAACCCCGGGACGCAGGGCCTGCACGCCCCCAGCCTTGGGGGGCCCCCCGGGGCCCAGCTGCACCATGCAAACCCTCCCCCAGCATCCCGGCAGCCCCTGGGCCCAGTGAGCTCAGGCCCCCTCGGCGAGCTGGGCTTCAGTGCGGCCGCAGGCGTGATGGGGCCCCCCATGTCTGGGGCGGGGGAGGCCCCGGAACCGGCCCTGGACGTGAGTACGGGCCCCATGCTGGGGAGCACATGGGAGCTGGGGCTGGGGACAGCGTGTTCATCGTCCCCAGGGTCCACGTGCTTCATAGAAGGGAGGACACTGACGCCCCAGTGACCTCCAGACCCAGAGAGCTGGTCAGATAGCGTCCACTCTCGCGACGCTGTCGGGCACCTGCAGTAGCCGTGGGGTTGGCTCTGGGAGCCTGTGCCAAGTGCCCGAGAAGACTGGGCTTGCAGCTGACCACATCGGCTCGGGGTGGGAGTTGACCCGTCTGACTCACCTTGGCGTGTGAGCCAGAATCAGCGTGTAAAACGCAGGTAACTGTCCTCCACCCGAATAAACCAAACTCACTGAAGTTCATCGCGAGAAAAGTTAGAGCAGCTCAAAGCAGCAAATCCCGGACGCTGGAGATTCCACCTCCTGCATTTGGCGTGCTCTCGTCGGGGTCCCCGCACCATCCCCAACTGCCAGGAGCAGCGCGGCCACCTGGGCCAGGCACTGCGTGTCCCGGGCTGTCCTCGGACAACTTGCGTGGAGTGATTCCCGGGCAAAGAGCAGCCTTCGGCAGGGAGAGGCCCCTGTGCAGGCTGAGGGTCAGGGGCCCGTGCAGGGCTGTGCCGGGTCCGAGGCCAGAGCCGCTGATGGCTTTGCTTTGTCCCCAGCTGCTCCCAGAACTGACCAACCCCGAGGAACTGCTGTCCTACCTGGGCCCACCTGACCTCCCCACAAACAACAATGATGACCTGCTCTCTCTCTTCGAGAACAACTGATCCTGTAGAGCCCCCCCCCCCAGCCGGCGGGGACTCGCCCGCAGACGTCACCATGCCCTGCCCCTCCCCACCTGCGTACCTGGAGCCAGGGCCTGCCCCAGCCCCCTAGCCCCTGACACTGGAGGCAGCTGCGCCGGGTGGGCACCTCGCCCCCCACCCCCTCTGCTGCAGAATGGTGTCGGGAGATGCTCAGCTCCCCTCCATCCACCGCCCCCAGCCCAGCTTTGCCCCACCCATGAGCACCTGCTACCCGGACCTCGAGCCTCGCCCCCTGTCCTTCCAACCCCGCCTGCTCCCGCCAGCCTGCATTTTGTCCAGCGTCCACCCTTCTGTTCCAGCGACCCCTTGGCTCATGGCGAGGAGCAAGGCTGCTCTGTTCCAGGCCTGAGCTCACAGAGTGCGGGGGTCCCTCTCCCCCCAGGAGCTTCGGACTAGGGCTGCAGGGTGGGGGCTTCTAAAGCACAACTGTGGACGTAGAGTAGGGACAGTAAGAGCTGTAGACGGCCAGTCCCTCCTGTGCTGCCAGGGCCCCCGTGGGCCGCTGCCCCCTCCCGGGTGCGACAGTTGGGGGTGGCCGCTCAGATGCAGCTCTGAGTGCAGATGCTCCCGCAGGCTGTTCCTCTGGGATCCCCTTCTCCGTGAAGTGAAGAATCAGTCCCACTGTTTTTAAAACTGCCTCTCCAGTGTCCACCCTGGGGCCAAGCCAGGTGGGGGGAGGGGCCACTGCATCCACTGGCCCAGGGCCGAGTCGTGTCCCCTGTCTGCCCGTCTCTATTAAAGGACTTCCTCACAGTGGGCTGAGAGTCCGTCCCTCCTTGCCCTGTGCCCCATGTGGGCAGGGCTGTTCCCCCCCCCCTCCCAGGACCCAGCTGTTCCTGCCTCATCCCTGGAATTTCCCAAGTTGGCCCTGGCTAGAGAACTATTTTGTGAAGTGTCACCAGGACCAGGAGACACATCTGCCACCCTGTCACCTTGCGTGGGCGTGCCTGGGGCAGTGAGCCAGGGGCCTTGAGCGGGAGCAGGACCTAAGGCCTGGCAAGCTCCAGACAGCAGCTGCAGGAGGCCTGTGGGGGGAGGCCCTGGGCTCCCAGTTCTGCAAGCCCCCCCCCCAGCTGTGCCCCGGTCCTATGCCTCCCAAGCTGTATGTGGGTCCTGTGGACCACTCCCAAGCTGTGCCCTGGTCCTGCGGGCCCCTCCCCCAGCTCTGCCCCAGTCCTGCAGGCCCCCCCAGCTCTGGCCTGGTCCTGCGGGCCCCTCCCCCAGCTCTGCCCCAGCCCTGTGCCCTCCTCAGCTGTGCCCTGGTGGCCTCCCCTTCCTGGCCCCGAGAGCCTTCCTGTCCAGTGGGAGAGGCTTACGGGCCCCGCGGCAGGGAATGGGGAATGCCTGTGGGGTGCCAGAACCTCCGGTGGGAAGTGTTGGGTGTGGGCAGGCCCCAGGCACTTTTCCGCGGATGTCTTGGGACCGCGGCATGGGCCTCCGCAGCCGGTGTTTCTGGCCCGGGTGGCGGAGGACGAGGAGGCCCCAGGGTGAGTGGGGCCTGTCCAGGGCGCCGTCCCTCACGCAGCCGGGCTGGGGTACAAGGGGCAGGCCCTCCTTCCTGGGGGTCACGCCAGGTGTGGTCTCACCGACGTCATTCTGGGTTTTGCTGGCAGGATGGAGAAACCTGGAGATGAGCCAAAGGCTGCGCGTCCCCGCGCGGCAGGGTGGGCCCAGCCGGACTGAGCGGTAAGCGGGGCCACAGCCTCGACGGCGCCTGGCTCCCCTCAATCTGTGGGGTGACAGGCAGGAATTCATGGGGCACGATGCCGTCACCGTGAGGCTCCACGGCAAACGTATCTCCCAGGATTTGCCCGCGTGTGCTAGGCTGAGGAGGGAGGCCCGGAGTGGCAGCACCAGCCCGGAGCCCGGGGGTGCGGCAGGCGGGTGCTACGGGGTGGAGGTGCCGGCACCTCGCTGGTCTTCAAGCCAAGCCGTGGCTTCTCGGGCTGCCGCCTTGCGCTTCATCCGTCCTGTCCTCCCATACGTGCCACGAGTGCAGTTTCCAGAGCAGCACACTGGACTCCGTGAGGTGTGACCGCCAGCCCCCGCAGGACACACGTTCTGCTCGCATCCCGGAGGCTGCGAGAGCCCAGGGGACCCACGCACTCGAGGTGGTGCCCAGACCCTCCTGCCCCCGGGGAGCAGAGCGGGCTGCTCAGCGGGCTCTAACCACAACGCGGGCAACAACTCTGGTAACTTCGGGAGACGAAGCCGTGCCAGTGGCGAGGGTCCCGAGGGGAACAGGCCGTTTGCACGCGTCCCTGGCCAAGCCTCAGGCAACAGCAGCACGGCAAGGGCGTCTGAGGCCATGACCGCCGGCAGCCAGACGCCTAGGCGAGGTGCGGGGCTCCCGGGAAGCGGCCACAGCAGGAGCCCCAGTCCCCACGCCCGGGGCCACGTGCTGCCGGACACCGCGGGAATGGCCCTGTCCCCATGCCACTGTCTGCCAGGGCCCTCACCTCACCACCTCCCACACTGGGCTGCTCGCTGGGGCCCGTTGGGACAGCCGGACGACCGTCAGAGGGAGGAGGCTCCGCACAGGACTAAGGAAATGCATAATCGGCCCCGGACGTTGATGGCTTTGTACCTGAGAGTCATTGGCCGCTTGCCTGGTCCACTTGTTCAGGCTGACGATCCGTGAATTGCCCAGATGCCAAGTGCGCGGGGATCAATGAGGTTGTGTGGCTGTCCCCATCCCCTGTAGCCATGTCGGCCTTCCTCAGTATGGTCCTGAACCTGGGAGTGCGGCCACGGGCCTACACCCCGACATGAGGTGTAGGCTATACCGGTTGCTGTGAGGGAGGATTGGGGGTGCGTAGGCCGACGCCCTCTGACCAGGCTCCCTCTGCTCAAACCTTCTCCGTGTGTGATCACACGGCTCAGGCTACAAGTGACAACAGCCCGCTCAGAGCCAGCTCAGGAGGGAAGCAAAGCCATCCTGAAAGGGCAGCCAGGTGCCTTGGGGACAGCTGGACACGGGCAGATGCAGCCCCAGGATGACCTGCCCCCTTGGAGAGCCCCACCGTCCAGAGTAGCTGTTGCTACGGAGCGGAGGCCAGAGCCTCCAGATCCACACAGAAGGGCCCCAAGCACTAGGGGGCCCGCACTCAGGGTGGGGTCGGGAGTGCTCCCCAAGGACGGAAGGAGGACACATTCCCCACCAGCCCACGGCCTGCCTCCCGGCCCTGCATCTGCCATGCTGGCCACCACTGGAGACTTAAGGCCCCTCTGCATCCGACCCAGTGCAAGCCGTGGCCGACCTGCCGCTGCCCAGGGAGCCCTCCGCCTCCAGAGCGGGTCGGGGCGCTGCCTGCTGTGGCCGCCTCTGTGGTCCCCGTCATCACAGCCGATACTCAATCACAAATAACTTGATAGTGATCGCTTCTGACGTTTTACTTAAAAGCACTTTAACTTTGCAAACAGCATAGGGAGCGCCCTGCACAACCCTCGGGTTAGCCGTCATGGACGTTTTGCGAGCCTACCTGCCTCCCCCCAACTTCCCATGTAGCTGCATGTTTTATGCGCACATGGGTTTTAGTTGCTGCCAACTAGGGAAAGTCAGCTGCAGCCAAACCGGTCAGCACGTGTCCTGGAAACAAGGCTGTTCCCACCCGTGAGCAGGGGTGCTGCTGTGATGGCCAAGCCGGACTCCACACCCACTCCCTTGCCTCCCAACGTCCCAATGCCCGCCATAGCTTTATTCATCCCAAGACCTGATCAGGGGTCACCCTTGAGTCTGGTGGTTGCATCTCAGTGTGGATGAGTCCTTGGCCTTCCTTACACCGATTTTCTGCACGATTCGGGCAAGTTGCCTTGCAGAGCCCAAAGGTCGCCTAGACGCACAGTCCTGGCAACCAGCCCTTTCTCCTGCACTCCGGCGTGTCCCGTCCCCTAGAGAGGACATCTGGAGCAGGGCTAAACATTCTGGGCCAGACGAGCATGGACTGCTTTCCCTGCAAGACCATGGGACCAACCAGATCTCTTTCGTGTCCTCATTCGTTCCAAAGCTGGCGAATGGGGGCCACCAAGGAGCGGGCTGCCTGGGGTAAGCATGCGGTGGGCTCTGAGCAACTGGCGCCCCCCCCCCCAGCCTGCTGCTGTCCTGGCTGGGGACCTGTCGCTGTGGGGCAGCCCGCAGGTGTCCCTTGCTCCAATGAGGGTTGGTGGCAGAGTGAGCCCCGGAGGCCTGGCCGCCACTCCTGGAGACCCTCCGACAGCAACAGAGACTCCCAGGCACCCCCACCCCCGCCCCAGGAACAGGGCCCTGCTCAGGGGTCTCCCGGTGGAGGGCTCCTGGTGGGGGCGAGCAGAGCCGCAGGGCCCCGCCCCGGGAAGCACCGCTGACGGGTGCAGGTTTCTCTCAAAGTCTCCAAGCCAAACTCTTCCAGACTGAAGCTGTGCAGGGCCTGGGAGCCCGAGGTCCTGCCCCCCTGCTCTCAGCCAACCTGCTTTTCCAGTTTCCCTTGTCAGTGACCCATGGCTGTGGCCAGTGGCCCGCTGCCCCTGGGTCCTCTGTCCCCACCCTCCGCGGAAGTAAGAAGAGCCCGCGGTGGGGCCTGCAAGCCTACCGCCAGTGTGACAGTCCCCAGAGTTCCTCGCGACCAGGAAAGGCTGCTTCTACACAGTGAACACACCCTCATGGCAAAAAGTACACACACCTACACACACATGCACACGCACACAACAGGGCAGCGGGAGCTGCTCACACTGCTGCCAGGAAGGCAAAATGGGGCCATCGCTCTGCAGGAGCTGACAACCCAGCTCCACATGGAAACCGCACCCAGCTGGCGACAGCATCGTCGCCCCAACGTGAATGCAGCAGGGCATCCTCGGCAGGCGGACGGCTGGGCCGCGGGGGCCACCGGGCGAGTGCAGGGCAGCGCTGACGGGAAGGAGTGCCACGAGGACGTGGGGCAGCGACGTCGTCCCTCGAAGGGAAAGGAGCCCAGGTCTCTGACTTCTGGAAGTGGCAGGTCCAGGG